AGCGGCAAAACTGAATGCCAGAAAGTGCAGTAGACCTGCAGCAACACGTCTTTGCGTAAGTGCTCGTCAACGCGTGACAGGCCGCAATCGAATGACGCTGCGACAAAATCGGTGACGGACATGTTTGTGTGGACCACGCTTATCCAAAACGTGGACAAGTTCAAACTGCACGGTGCGCTCTGGTGGCAACCCATGAGGCAGTTCCTTGGGAAAAACATCCTTGAAGTCGTCCATTACTGCTTCGATTTCGGCAGGTGTTGGCTGAACTTGCACCTCCACGCGAATCAGCTTAAGAATTCATCCTTCGCATCCTTCGTGAACAGAGCATTAGTTTTCACTTCTTCTTCCACCGATGTGATCATTTGATCTCGCAAATTTATAACCGGATTGTACTGGCGAAACGATAGATGACCTAAAATGATTTCATACTCCTTGTCCTTCAGGTCCCATTCGATCATCGTGACATTGTCGAACCGCATGTTGTCCATAGCCAACGTCTCTTTAACTTCGCGCGTTCGGGTCGGGTCCAAGACCACATTGTCATAACCCGCAATTCGAACGGTCTTCTCACGAACAATACAAGACCCCATGCCAACGCGGCAGAGTGAGGTAGTTGCGCCACTGCCGATCATGACATTCACGACATTGCCATTCATTACTCCTGGCTTAATCATCAACTGTTGATCCACTGCTCGGATCGTTTTGCACTGAGCCTCAGGCTGTTCTTTGTCGTCTGCAGTCTCAATATTTCCAAAGGAGATATATTCCACATCGTCATTAGCAATGATTGTCAACAATATATTTAAAATATATTTACTGGGGCCAATAAATATTGGTATTTTATTGGCCTTTCCTAAATTATAAAAATAAGTATTGCAATAAATCTCTATTTGTCAATAAATATTGCACTTAATTTTAAGTGGCCAATAAATATTGCACTAAATTTTCAGTGGCCAATAAATATTGCAATAAATAGTGAAACCCCAATAATTACTGCAATAATTTTTGATCAGTCATTAATTTTGAGCACTAAAACTTGGT